AGCCTGCCATGCTCTGCCAATTTTAGGACTTTTAGTGGACTTGAATCAATGGCCTGCCATGTTGTTTGGTAATATTGGGACTGTGCCTTTTCATTTGTCAACCTTGGGCTTGTCAGCCGCAGGAGCTGCCAGCTGTCTGAGTGAAGAAAAGCCTCTAGCTTCAGTGAGCTGGGAGCAGGAGGCAGAGCTGAAGCCCAAGGTTGAGAGGCTTTCACCCAGCCCCTTAGAGCCTGGCACTTTGAACTCGGACTTAAAGCCTCCAAAATTGTAAGAGAATAAACTCCTGTTTGTTAAAGCCATCCCATTTGTGGTATATTCTTTTCAGAGTGGCACTAGGTAACCACATGGAAGAAGGTGGCCCTGATGAGACTGACTGATGAGGATATATTTGTGCTATGTTTGGACCTGGTACTTGGGATTGTTTTAGTGAAGACTGTTACCTGAATCTCTTTTCATGGAAAAGTTTAGGATATTTTGGCTGGCTGGTCACCACTCAGGAGTGGGGGATGGGCAGGTTCCATCCAGTAGGGTGGGAATTACTCTTCCTTGAGTCCCCAGAGTCATCACTGGGCCTGCAGTGCAACACTTCTTGGCCATATTGAGTCATGCTTCATTGGTAGCATTGATTTTATGTTTATTTGTGAAGGAACAGAATATGAGGTTATCAAATAAAATACAATCTCAAGTGTTATTAATAAAAGAATATATTACATTCACTTTTAATGAGGTTCTGATGTTACAAAATGATTCCATGTAATGAATCCTAGGAAATCAATGAAAAGTTTAATTACAGTTATGGCAGTGTTGTATGAGACTATTTCTTTGGTCAATTTTACTGTACAGTTTATCAATCCTCTCTGCCTTTCTCTTTCTTTAAATTAATTGCTTTGACGAAGTAAGTACAAATAAGTACTTTCGATCTTTTTAGAAATGTGTTATAAAAAATTCAAGTTTTCTCCTTTATAATGGTAACTAATAATAAATAATACTTTATCTATATTTCTATTTCCAATCTATAATTTTTTAATTTGGCAAAATTTCCATTTCACAGATTTAGTCATTGTTATGTCTTAGTAAAACATTGTCCTTTTTCTTTGGTCAGTTTTTTGCAAATTACTGCCTGTGTGTTTCAACTTACTTATAGACCAGATCCATCAGTCAAAAGCTGATGTGCTTTCTATATTGCTCTTCACTTGATTAATCTCTGGGATGAATGAAAAGAAAAGCAAGATACTTTCCTTCTGAATTAGCTTAGGCAAAAGTAGCTCTGGTTGTGGAGCGGTTAAGGCATTTGGCTGCTAACCACAAGGTTGGTGGTTCAAAACACCCAGCAGCTCTGTGGAAGAAAGATGAGGCAATCTGCTTCTGTAAAGATTTACAGCCTTGGAAACCCACCAGGGTTCGTTGTGAGTTATAATCGATTCGATGTCAGTGAGCAAATAATTTAGTTGGCAAAATACTTAACAGTTTTGCTTTTGTGTGACTGCATACCCTTTACAAAGTGACTTTTCTTTTTAGAGTATTTTTAGTTTGACAATTCAATAATTATGGTGCTATCTTGTCTACTGTGGTGGTAATTGATTTTTTGTGTGTCTTTTAAGTACAATACTAAATGTTCTGGATATTTAGATTTATAAATATCTAAAGTTGTTCTTTATTTTGGAGACTCTTTATTTTACTATTGATATGTTCAGAAAGTTTTAATGGAATTTACATGCTCTTATAACCCACCAGCCACTCCTTGGACGGAAGATGGGGCAAACTACTTCTGTAGTGATACTGCCTCGGAAATCCAGGGAGGGGTCGCTATGGGTTAGGTCCGACTTGACGGCATATAACAACAGCAACATAGCTATAATTACTTATGTGTGTCTACTTTTGGTTTAAAGTTCAAGGCTTTAAAATTTAGTCAATAGTTGTTTTAACTGATTTGCTCTATGGATATTGAGTCATTTGAGAAGGAAAAACCTTTAGTCCCCTTCCTTTTAAATTCTGCCTTTGATATTATTAACCTTGTGTCTTGGGCGGTAGAATTTTGGTGGAATTGAGAAGTAGCTTGGGTGTTTAAGGACATTTTGTTCCAGTCCTAGCTTGTTACTGACACACTGTAGAATCTGTGAAGATTCATCTAACCCATGTGGAGAGCTGTTGAGCTGTGCAAAACAAAATGACTCTCATTCTGTAATAGTTACTAGCCATCCACAGGTTTCGTGATTCATCATGTGATATCTGTAAAGAAAGAGAAAGTTTCCTCAAAGAAGAGTACTATTTGAGTATCATAAAAGGAGCTTTTTTTGTTTGCTCTAAAAATGGTGTTTTCCTTGAAGGTCATTGAATGTGTGCAGGTATGGCTAAATGGACTATTATAGGAAAGGTTGTTCTTTCCCTGTTGCACTTTACCCTGTTGAATAGAATGTTCTTTTATATATACCTGCAACTACTGTTATCAGAGACTGTAATCCCAGGGTTTTTTCTTTGGGGCATAAGTTGTTACAGAATTGTTGTTGTTGTTGTTATGTGCCGTCGAGTCGGCCCCGACTCATAGCGACCCCTCCTTGGGTTTCCGAGGCAGTATCACTACGGAAGTAGGATTGCCCAAGCTTCCTTCCGAGGAGTGGCTGGTGGGTTTGAACCGCCAGCCTTCTGGTTAGCAGTCAAGTGCTTTAGCCACTATGCTACCAGAGCTCCTTGTTACAGAATTAGAGAGCTAAAAATTTCTTTCAGATTGCTTCCTTTGAAATAACATTCTATTTTTGATTGCTACCTCCACCCTGTGTGGTTGGTTATTTGCTGCTGTTATATACTGTGTGTGAAATTGTTGTGACTTGTACCATATCTGGGCCAGGGCTGGCTGTGCCCTAAAGAAGAGGCAGTGAGAGGGGCAGTGCATGTTCCTGGCCTAGAAGCGCTCTCTTCTCTGTTTAAGCCATCCTGATTTTGTCCTGGATGTATTCCTCTCTCTCACTTCTGATTAGCCTTCTACTTGCCTTCAGCTCCTCATCTCCTTGTCTTCTTGTCATTTTATCTAAAACACATTCCTGAACCTTGCCCTTCTTCTATCTACGTAAACCTATCTCCTCTTTTGTGGAGGTAAATCTTCCCCTAAGACATCTAGATGCACACCAAATTTAGGAACCATTGAGTTAAAGGAAGAACCTTTTGCTCAAATTACATGTGCTCTAGAGACTTCCAATTCAAGATGGCAGTCTCAACACATGTACTTAAGTTACCATACAAACTGCTGTGAAGCCCAACCAAAGAAATGCAGAAATATCAAGAAAGAGCTTATCCATATAATAGAACTATAAAGAATAGTTATAAGTCTGGTAAGTCTAGATTGAAGTATATAGCAACCAACTTTTGGCCATTAGGTGGAACTATCAATTTTTTGTGCATTATTGCATATTGATGTCAATAGTTATGTCTTCCTGTCCTGTTTCCTGTGGCCCTTCACATGTTTATTTGATAACCATGACACCACATCCTCCTGATTCCTGTCTCCAAATATTCTTTGTGTGTGTCTTTCACTATTTCCTTTTCCCCCATCTGTAAAATTACAACTTTTTTCATATACATCTTTTCCACTGCCCACACTGTCCATTGATGATCTCATATCCGTTCCCTCAGGCACAGCTGTGGCCTCAGCAGATGACTCCCACAGTTTTCTGTTTAGTCTCAGCCTCTCTCCTGAGCTCTAGTTTCACATTTCACCCTCTCACTATATTGTTCTACCTGAATGTCCTATGTTTACACAAGAACAGCCTTTTCCTAAAACCTTCATCACCTCTTCTCCTAATTTTCTTATTTCTGTTAATGTTATAATTCTGGATGTCACCTGAGTACAGTGCTTTACCTTTCATTCTTTTTTCTTGTTGTGTTTTTTTGTCTTCTATCTCTCACAGTTACTAAGTCCTAACAATTTTCCAATCAAGATATCTCTTGTATCTATTTAGTTCCCACTTTTATTAACATTTACTACCATTTTACATTCTAGATTATTGATATGGTCCCTAAAGAACTTTCTGCCCCTGTAAACCATGATATTGGCCTTCTTCGCTTCTGCCTAGTTTTGGATTATTCACCTGCCTGTAATGTTGCTCATTATACATTTCTCCTCCTTTTCCTGTATTTCCTCCTAAAGCTCTAACTTAAATGTCATCTTTTTTTTTTTTTCTTTTTAATTTATTTTTTTACTGTGATTTGGGCGAAGATTTACAGAACAAAAATACCATCTTCTTGAAGCCTTCTCAGATTAGCTCACTAATGAATGATCCTTTTTCAAATGAATGTCTATAGTCCTGTGCTAGTACCAGACAATCTTTGACCCTGTCAGCTTCTGTAAACTTCTGTGAAATAAGCACTGAGGCCTCCAGAAAAAGAGCAGCCTTAGTGGGTGCTTGAGCTGCGTGGCTTTGCTTCTGCGTCTTGCCTCTTCTTTTGTCCCTGTGGGTGACTATAGGATTATCATTGCCCTTTTAGTCATCTACTTGTCCTCTGGCCCCAAGACCATCCATTTGTTGTGGGCAACCCTCCACTCAGTTGCCTGGAGCTAATCACCTATTTGAGACCCTGATTATTTGCTACCTTGTGTTATGGTTATGAATGTATGTCTGTCATCTCCTTGTCAATCAATTCCCCAAGAACAGGAATGAGACCCCGTACATCTGTATCCCTTATAGTGCCTAATAGATAGCATAGTACTGATGACAAATGAGGTATTCAGTGAATGTTTGCTAAATAGGTAAATGATTGAATCCAGAATATTCTACCTTTTGTTTTAACTCTTAAGTATAATGGAATTACAGGAAAATAAACATTTTCTTTGATGAACACATACAATTTTTATAATTAGAAAAACATTTAAGACAATTAGGCTGTATATCATTTGTGTTGTTAATGTAACAGTTTATGTGGAAGACAGCTTGTTCTTTGTCTTTTTGGCTTTCACAGTCTGGAACATGTGTTGGTAATAATGCATCAGCTCTGTTTCTGTGTTGCAGCTCTAGTTGTAAGTACCACTTCAGCTGGGTTTGCCTTGGCTCCAGGACCTTTTGACTTGCCCTGCTTCCTGCTCACTTTTGTTGGAACAGGCCTCGCGTCATGTGCTGCCAACTCCATCAATCAGGTTAGTTGTTCATTCTTCAGGTAAGTTATGGTATTGTCACTTTTTCCTAGATTGCAGTATTGTCACATTTTAGAAGGCCTTCCAATATAATATGTATTGATGGGTTAGGACTGTGAACTTGTAACAATATATGTACTGCTGAGGTCTATCGGTTATGTAACTAATTTGTCTTTTCTTTTGTGGTCAGTGGTTTTTAAATATGTTCAAGTAAGAGGGCAACAGAGTATATGCTTTATATAACCAGGAATCCTTGGGTTAAGAAGCATTTTAGAACTGTCATAACTTTCTTTTCTTAGCAGTGTCTTTGTCCATCCATTTCAGGTGCATTTCCCTGAATTTGTCTTGGTGTCATTGTCTTTCCTTGATTTGATTTATTTTAAAATCACTACTAAGTAGAAAAAAAAAAAAAAACAACTCACTGCTGTTAAGTCAGATCCAACTCATAGCCACCCTTCCTTGGACTTCCTAGGCAGCATCACTCACTATGGAAGTAGCTTGTCCAACCTTCCTTCTGAGGAGTGGCTGGTGAGTTTGAACCACCAGCCTTCTGGTTAGCAGTCAAATGCCTTGATATCAAAATAGTTTTAAAAAAATAATTAGCATACGATTTTAACATGCCTTTTTCCCCTGTAATTTTTAAACATCAAAATAGTTCCCTAAAAATTTTCCCCTGCCTGGTCATTTTGGTCTCCCTTAAGATTGTGGCTTTTTCATAAGATACTACGGTGAAAAATCTTGGCTAAAAGTTAAGGAAAGTCATTTTCATCACCGGAACACCCAGGAGGAATTGGCGCAGTTTTGAAACAGGAATTCAAGTTACCAGAAAAACAGCTGAGTGGATATATATAGTTGATAGTCTGCAAAATATGGTTACATTAATTTGATAATGCCTATCAGTAGTTTGTTATCAACAGTTGGGAGAATGATCAATCTATTTCAAATAATACTTAGTGTTTTGTTACTATTTTTAATGTAAGAACTGCCTTATAGTGAGGTTCCAATAATGCTACCACTTTCCCAAAAGTATGATCTCCTTTTGTGGTTCTGTGTCGTCCAAGTTGCTGTTTCCTTTTGCTGCCCCTGCCTATATTTTTTGGCTAAGAGAATAAGCATGATTTCACTGTGCGTATTTTTAATGGAAGTTTGGATACAAAGCAGTGTAAGTAAAATGGATTTTATTCAGTTATTTTTAGATCTGTTTTTCAGAGTTTTGTTGTTTGATTTTTTTTTTTTAATTATTGTCTTTAAGTTATACATCTAGATCATGAAATGAAGCCAGGAACACATTCTATTTTCAGGTGCCTTTAAACTGAAGAGTTGCATTGATCCTTTAGATACTGACCACTGTCTTCTGTCTAAATTATGAAGACTTAAAAGAAAGGATTTAAAATAAGAATGTGGAGGTTGAGGGGGAAAAAGTAATAAGTATCGAATGGTTCAGCAATCCTAAAACATTATAAAAGTTAATAAGAGAGTTGCCTTCAGTGGGAGCTGGTTTCCTGCCTCACCATCCCCCAAAAGAGTGGTTCAAGAATTCACTATGGAGGTGAGAAATACCATCAGTTATAGCTACACAGTATCTGGGAAAAGAAATGGGATGATTTACATTTAGGCAGAAATTTATAGAAACTGAATATAGACCAAGGTTTTGGAAATTTCAGAAGGACCGTGAGTTTAGATAGCTGCTTTATTTTGGATTCTGTAGGAAGAATATTTGTTATAGGGGGTATGTTGGGTTAACTGATGACATCTTTGCTACTGTGTATTAGAGGTTAAATTACCACAGTGGGTGTAGTACTGTATCTCTAATGAGATTAGGAGGATTTAAAGCACTCATGCTCTGTACAAAGTACACAATTAATGCTAGCTATTATTGTCATTATAAATGGGAAAGGAGAAAGTATTTTCCTCACTGTACTAAGAGTCTCAAATTATAGTCACAAAATATTATAAATATGTATGTGTATGTGTGTGAATGTATATATATATTCTTTACAGGAGTGTATGAATTTATATGTACATTCTTCACATCTAAATATGTGGTGATGCCTTAGGTTCCACACACTTTATTAAATCTCAGCCTCTGGTTGGCTTTGTGGAGCTTTGTTGTCATTTCTAGTAAATCAAAGAAACACTGGTGAAAAGGTTGGTAAATAAAAAAAATAGCAGACATTTAATTAAGACATATAGTGGAATGTATACAGCTTTTTTGAGTTCTGACTCCTGGGTCACACATGTGGGTAAACCACAGGTGGGTGGCTTGAGGACTTGTTTCCTTCTTAGTTGTCTCCTTAGCACTCCAACCTAGCAGAGGTCAGGCTGAGTGAGTTGCTTCCTTTTTCCTTTCTTTCTTTTTAATCTTCAGTTATATTTTGCCTTTCCTGATAGTTTGTGCTTCTGAATCCCATTAGCTGTTGCTTCTCTGCTCTGAACCACAGATTTTCCCTCCCTGTTTGCTGGGTTACACTGAATCTTGGTTGACTGATGACTGATGATGTTGTTGTTGTTGTTGTTATGTGTCGTCAAGTCGGCCCCGACTCATAGCGACCCCTCCTTGGGTTTTCGAGGCAGTATCACTACGGAAGTAGGATTGCCCAACCTTCCTTCCGAGGAGTGGCTGGTGGGTTTGAACCGCCAGCCGTCTGGTTAGCAGGCAAGTGACTTAGCCACTATGCTACCAGAGCTCCTGATGACTGATGATACTGATATAAAAACTGACTGTGTGGTGGATCCCTGGGAGACTATATCATTTCCTTATTGCATATACACTGTCTTTGTTTTAGCAACAAACTGCTTTTAAAGTTTGATATGTGAGAATTCCTGCTGCCTTGATACATATATCAAAATTTAAGTCATTTGATGATTATGAAAGGAATAGGAATTGGGGTGTATGTGTGTTGGGAGGGGGGCAGAGGGTGAGGAGGATGGACAGTGAAGCACATGTTATGTTATGCCTATGCTTCCTTAACCCACTCCAGCTTTTGAGAATTCTTTCTCTTGCAATTTCTAACTACTAATGGAACTCCAAAATGCTTCAGGCAAGATACCAGACATTTAAAATTTGTGTGTAAGTGATTAAGTAAATCCTAAAACTCACATTTTCATGATCACCCAGTTCTGTCTTACTGATTTTCTAAGAAGTTTTAGAAAATAGTTTTTGGCAAGAAGGGGAAATTACTTACCTGTGTAATTAATCTTAAGGAAAATTTCACTCTGGCATTTCCTTCAGATCCTATGCCAGATTTCTCCCAGAAGCCATGATCACAGGAGGAACAAAGAAATTTAAAAGGATTTGAGTGATGGAATGTAGAGATAGGATGAAACAAAAGGGAAAATTTGGTAGTTAATAAGATTTATATATACTTGTAATCTAGAGTATCCTTATACCTTAAAATATACTGTGTAACCTTATAAGATAAGATGCAGTTTTAGCTTTTATTCTAAGGTTTCTTTACTACTACAAGATATTTATATGCTTTTATAAGAAAAAAAATTATCTCTGAAATAGAAGCTTACTGTAATACCCTGACAGTTTCATTAATGTATGTAAGTAAAATTAAGATTGGTTTGTTAATTGCTTTTAGCAAAATTGTAACTGATAATCTGGGATGCTGATGTGTACATTACTGCCTCTAGTTGAATGAAAAAGATATAACACTTCTGTATACAATTTTCTTAAGCAGCTAGCTAAAGAAATGCAGATTAAGATCCTTCTTCTAATATTGCTGACATTGTATCCTAACTTGAAATAATGAGGATTAAATATAACATGTGACCTTAAGAATATAAATATACCTTAAGACTAGACTACTAGTTCTTATAAAAATATTCAGCAGTTATAAATGAGGGTATTAGTCAAGAGCACTATTTACTGTGCTTAGATTCCCTTCATGAGTTTTGCTTACCTTGAATAGATGACTGACCGAATGGCAAAATAGCTTATTCAAACAAGTATGCAATCAGCTTTGAAAATAGAGATGTGGACAGTCCCCTAATTCAAACTTTCATGTGTTTTCCTACAAGACAATAATAATTTGTAAGTTTTTCAACAGATAGATATTTAGCTATCCCAAATACCTCTCTGGCTTAAGTAAGTCAGGTTATATAAAAAATGGCCCTTTTTAGTTAGTACTTGGGGAACATTCAGGCTTTAAGATTTTGTTTTATTGCCTTTGAAAGACAGCAAAATGTGACTGAACTAGTTCTCACTTGCACAGAATTTTGTCTAGTCTGCTTAGTTCAAGTTAAAATTATGGGGGGGCAGGTAGACAGGTGTTGAAATCCTCTTGAATTCACCTGCATACTGGAAAGTAGTTCTGATTTGTCTAGGACCAGAAAATAAATGTCATTTGGACGTGGTAAATGCTAATATTCTGTGCTACACTCTTCTTGCAAATTATTTTCTGAAGGGATCCTGAAATGTTTATTGTTTTTATACTAGGGATAAAAAGATTGTTCCCTACTTTGTTCCCTCATGGTCTAGTCTGGTAGGAGAAGGCAGATGTGTAAATAAGTTAAGTATAATAAAATATGTCTGTACTGACATAGGAGACAGGCCTTGCCTTAGGGGTACATAGGAAGGTTTAGAGAGTGGTCATTTCTGCCTGTGGTGGTCAGGAAGAGGTCACAGAGAAGGAACCAGAGTATGGAAAGGTGGAGTAGGTATTTTCCAAGTAGATGAGGCGTGGGAGGGGAACTTTGCAGGCAGAGAGAACATCATGAATAAAGACACAGAGATTTAACATTTTGTACACAGGGAGACTGGGGAACTGCAGACATTGCAGTGCAGCTGAAACATCAGGTGCAAGGTGGTGGCATGCTGTGAGGGATTTGCTGAACAAGTCAACGGGGATCAGGCCCTCAAGGGCCTTGGATGCCTCCAAAGCATTCAGACTTATCCTGTAGATGTTGAGCAACCATTGTAGTTGAGGTGGAGGCAATTCTAACTTATGGCAACCCCTTGTGTTTCAGAATAGAACTGTGCTTCGTGGACAATGGCT